CGCAGTTTCCTGCCCACAACAATAGTATGAACAAAGAGTGAAGGGTCCTGACTGGAAGTCTCTAGTAACCCTCAGACAACTGGACAACTGCCCACACTGATGAAGTGCCAAAGAATGTGAAAAGATGATGCCTAAAGCGTGGGAATTTCACCTATCATATTTTTCCAAAGGATTCCAGGCCTGTGAGTTGAAACAGGATGTGTGTTGTGTGTGTGTGTGTGTGTGTGTGTGTGTGTGTGTGTGTTTGAGGAATTTAACCTTTTCACACTGCCACAGAAAACTGGGTGTTTAAAGTGTCTTACTAATATATACATGTTTAACTCTTGCTCACTCACTTCCCACACATGAAACACTCATCTCAGAACCACTCTGTCTCCCAAAATGAGTTCAGAAATATTTATTCATCAGCCTGATGAAACTGAGTAATTTACGGACCTTTAACATGAGCACCTTGAATGTGTTACATATTTTTTATTTTCTCTCCCAGTTACCTCATTCAAATTTTGTGTATTTAAGTCTTTAAAGGAATATTTTTGCCATTTTACAGCGGGTTATGTGCCAGACTCTTTCTTGGCCGGGACCAACTGCTGGACTCTAGGAACTTACTGGAAGTTACTCATCCCACAAAAAACAAGTTTTTAAATTTGAGGCTTTGCATGGATTGAACAAGAAAGATAAAACATGCTAGCTGTTTACCCTATTTCCAATCTTTGTGCAAAGCTAAGCTAACCGCACATTTGTTCACAAAGTGTAAAAATCCTGTTATAGGGTTGCACTCTTTTAAAGAAATCATTTTACAGGAGTTTTGCTTGCTCACAAACGACGGTTAGCCATAGGTGGTCATTGTTTATGGGACACGTTTTAGCTCGCTCTTGCGGTGCGCTTGGCTGTTCTCACCACAGCCGATTTTTCTGAATAGACATTTTTCACAGCAGCCATTTTTGGTTGTTACCAACGATATCAACAAAGGCTCTGTCCCATTTAGTGTTTTCCAGTGAGCCAACATGCGCCCTGACTCTGTTTGACCTACATGGAACACAACCTTAATCAATATCAATGGTAACACCTGTGTTTACCCTACTATTTCTTGTCAAAATCTCTGATGTGAAAAAGGTCTATTGACCACAGCTTTTCCCTAACTGTAGCATTAATTTGGCCACAGGGCAGGATAAAATACAGTAAAAAACATTGATTATTTCCAAGATATTTGGTCATGTTAATCAATTTCCAGGTGTTTTAATGACTAGAAAACTAGTCTCTGACATTCCAGGTTTTCCAGCACACGTGGGAACCCTCTCTTATCTAATTCTTGGCAAGAAAGCAAGTGGGTTTATTTCCCAAAATGTCTATTTCTTTAAACAGCATTAGGCGAAAGTACATAGATGATGACAGAGATGTTACACAACACACTCTTCATACTCTTGATAACCTTTGTGACATGTCTGCCTCATTAGACATCATATAGGAATGCAGTGTGGCAGGAAATAAGACATGTCAGATAAAAGAGAAGATAAGATGGGAATCAACCCCACAACACTGAACTATTTAGTACATAACATACTTTGGAGTATATAACAAACATCTGTGTGATTACACAAACAATATTTAATCCTTTTTGCACTCTGACGTCTAAATGCTATTACTCATGTTTGTTTTATCTAAATAGTTAGAAAAGTGACCATCTTACCATTTATGATTAGATCATAGTTTTTAAAAGATCAGTGAGAAGTAACAGCGCAGAGAAAAAGAGCTGTATGCCAGGTAAGGTCTGCGTCAGCGATAAGGAAGTATCAAGATCCTTTACAAGTAAAAGTCCTGTGTTCATAACTTTACTTAAATAGAAGTTTTAGGAGCAAAATGATCTTAAAGAATAAAAAGTAAAGGTACAACAGCAGGATGGCCCATTCCATAGTGTTATGTTAATTATTACTGATGCATCAGTGTGTATGCAGCATTTTGATGTTGCATTTGGTTGGGACGATGGTCATATATCATAAGATGATTATGTGCTTTGTATATAAAATGTTGATTTTCTTAATAACTACAGTTGTCAACTAATCCAGTTGAGTCAAAAGTACAATATTTCCCTCTGAAATGGAGTGAAATAGAAGCATAAAGTAGCATAAAATGGAAATGATCAAGTAAAGTACCTCAGAATTGTAGGTAAGTGAGGTCTACTTAATGCCCTGGTCTTTGTGAGCAAAACCAAGACATGTTCTCTTCATGCTCCATCTTTAATGCCATATAATTTGTTTGTGTTGGAAATAGTTGTGATGAATTCCTTTTGTTCTAATGAAATCTGGGTATTTCCCGCCATACAAACACAAACATATTCTTCATAGTCAAAGGAAATACTTCCTCTTATCGCATTGTGATGGTTCCTTAAGAATCATGGCTCAGTGAAATACTCTGACTCTGTTTTACTACATCAATCACAGATGGATGCCACCTAGTGGTGAGAAAGTTTTCATTTTGAAAAGAGAGAGGGGATATTTATCACTTTTTCCATTTGGTCTTCCACTAGAACGAGGAGAAAGCTGCATGATAGTAGAGCATGATTAAAACCTACACAGTAAAATAAATAATGTAAACAGATTTTTATGCAAAATATCCTCCTCAATCAGAAATCATTAAGACTGTAATTACAAATTAAAGACAGGAAATCAGAGCATAGAAGTGTTAACTTACTGCTATTTACACCCACTTTGACACCAATTCAAGATATATTTCAGATATATTTATCTCATTGCATAAAACATCATTAGATTTTTCTCCCTCGTATCTCAAATATTAAAAGAAAATGGGTTGTCTCTCCTTCAGTGATGCTGCTTTCCCTGCAAGGACACAGACCTCTCAAGTATGCAGGATGTTTCATGAACCATTTAGAAAAGTGGATTCATAAACAAATGGAGACACACATGCACAGATACACACACTGCATGTTTCTCCTCCTCCTCTGTTTTGGGCCTGTAGGAGCTAGGAGCCATAGCAACCAAATACCAAGGGGAGAAAAATCTGTGAGCTGCCTGGCCGGGCTCCATCCCTCTGGCAGTCATGCTTAAACTCTCGAATCCCATGACAAAAACAACATTCCACATCTAAGTGATAGTCTTCAAGGAATTCCTGTTAAACAGAGGCATTTCTCAGCGTGCATACCTCATTGTATTGAAACCATCTGGTATAACGTGTGAATGTGAATTCTTCTACAGGTCCACACAGTGAGAGAAATATTTTTGTCTTTGTGCACACGTGGAAGTTTGCATTGTCTCTGTTAGTGCAGTTACAGCCTGGGTGCTGATCTCAAACCAGAAAGTGCACGATCTCCTCCAACAATGTCCACCAGTTATTAACTTGTCAGAAATAAAGGTGTGGATGTCCTAAAACTTTCTCCAGCTAAATAAAAACAAATGTGAAATCCTTGTTTTTGGTCCTCTAAACTTTAGAGTCTAAAGTCTATCCTCATATTACAAAAACATCTTGGCTGCCTGTCTACAATGTAAAATGCAGGCAGTGTTTTTGTAAGTCATGTTTTTATCAACAGAGGAGGATGTGAAAAATCAGGTATTTTCCTCATCCTGATCTCAAGAAGGTAATTCGCACTTTTTTTATATAATCTTGGTTAGATTATTGTAATTCATTGTATTCAGGGGTAAAACGATCTCATGCCTTCAGCTGGTACAAAATGCAGCTGCTCAACTTTTACAAACACTAGAAGACAAAATTACATCAGCTGTTTCAGTCTCTTCACTGGTTATCAGTAAGTTTTAGATTTAAAGATTGTACTCATTACCATTAAAGCACTTCTAGCTCCCAGTTATATTGCTGAACTGCAACACACTTTCGTGTGGGTAGCGTAGTAACCAGTGATTTAGGTTTCACATAGGCCTATCAGTCACATCCTTTAAATCACTTTGCTATTTCGATCAATTTTATTTCTGTTTAATTTTTAATCGTCGATTTGCCAGTGATACAGTATAACCTTGTGCTGTATAAATAAGTTTTAACACTGCTCTCTTCAAGATATAAACACATTCACACACACACATGAAAACACAGCTAAAACTAGAAAAATACATACATATGTATCACTGGGTTTCACAGTGGTGGGCTGATGACAACCTTAAAAACTGTTTTTGAGTTTGTTAGGCCGAGTTATCAAATGTTTGGCCTGAGCAGAGTCCAACGCCCAATGCCAGCCCTCCCACATCAGTGCTGACACCTATTCAGCCATGATGTGATGCTACACAGAAAAAGAAAAGCAAAAGTCTTACAAGTAAAATATGATGGTGTGAGGATTAGGGTGACAATGAGATGGTCAGAAAAACCTACAGTTGCAGGCAACCCCAGATCCTCGGGGACCCTGAAAATCCCAGGTTCACTGCCTGACAGTAAGTTTTGGTAATTTGATTAATGGCCAATTTGTACCAGTACATTATCAACTAAAGCACGTCCTTTAGAAGGCACAATGTTCACTAATATATTATATACTATATATATATACATTACTCACATGGTGCATGTGTAGTTGAAGTTCTACAAACTAACACAAATTAAGTATTATTCCAGCAAAGGCGTACTGGTTGTACTGGGCTTAATGGGAACAGATGAAGGGTCAGAAGGAGCCCAACTGCTCCTAACAGGTTAATCCGGACATACTTGTTTTGGAGATGATTTAAAGGTGGGGTGTGAGATGGGGGGAAAATCCCATAGCATGACAAATACCATTACTAGTGCGAACAACGGCACAGCACGTAATGTAACTAATGTCAGCTATGATGTTGCTGTGCAGCTAACATGCAGGACGAGACAGTTTCACACCAGCTCGAGACAGAGATATTCACAACTCTTCTGCTACAGTATATTATAGCAGCTGTTGCACATCACGGTCACCTGAACACTTTCTTTGAAAACTGTACTTAGATGCAATGTTTTCACCTAAAATCAATAAAAAAACAAAATAATACTTCAGGCATGGCAGGAAACAAGAACATAATCTCTAATATATTAAGAAATCTCCATTTAATTATTTATATTTAGTTTATTACTGTTACTGTACAGTATAACCTAGAGCATGGATGATCGTCTGTCTGTTACTGGTAGCATCCGTCAGAGTCTGGAAGGGGCCGAGAGATGTTGTGGAAAGCCCACTGCAAGATGCCATCAATGGAGCCCTGCTGAGATACAAACACAGATGGATCAATCGTTGCACAAAGGAGTCCTGGTGACATCATCTGGCACATGCGTGCAGTATGATGTCAGCGACAGCGATGATATCACACAGCAACCAGATTATCGCTGTAGTTATCAATTTATATCAGGTCATGTTTTTAGTTTGTGGGGAACGTTTTCATTTTTTAGGTCATTCTGTCGGATTCAGGAGGATTCGAGTAACAATTCTGAAAATGAAAATAAGGATGAGATCAATATAATTACCTATAATTAACCTAATCAATCTGTTCCTTACAGTAAAATCCAAAAATATCCACCTTGTTTAAGAGTGTGTTGTTTTTTGAGAGGCAAGTGCTGAAGAATACATATTGACTTTGAAAAATAAAAAAGATCTATTGTTATTATTAGAAACATTTCACATCAAAGAAATCAATCTTGCCGTCTTGCAGTACATTAAAGTTTAAACATGAGCTAAAGCTTCCTACCTCTCCTTTAAAGCTTTAAATTAATTTACATATGAGTACAGTGTATATAGGAATACATATATATGTATTAATGATTGTGTAAATCAATAAAACCAAAAACACTAAATAAAATTAAAATAACTTCAACATCTGTACACAAATATCTACAACACTAACAACACCATGACAAATATTCCCTAGCTGTGTGATAAAGAGGGGCGGCCATCTTGTGTATGACATGCTTATGGTGATATTCATGTCACGTCTGTGGTATCGACATGTAACTGAGCCTCACTTACGTCTCCCAGGATGGAGTCCAGTTCATCTTTATGGAGGATGGGCTCAGGGACGGAGGAGCTCTGATCATGACCGAGCGTATTTTGAACCACTGGGGCGAGCTGGACACACACACACACACACACACACACACACACACACACACGCACACACACACACACACACACACACACACACACACACACACACGCACACACACACATACAGGAGAGATTACACTCCATCATATCCAGATAATAAAGAAGTACAGTGTATATTATCTGTACACACACACAGGCTATTTAAACTATGCACACGTGCAGCCACACCTGTAAGCCTCTGGATTCTGCCTCCTTCTCTGCAGAGCTGCCCCAGGGCCTGGAGCAGGACAAGCAGATGGATCTCCCTCTAGCAAAAACAAGGATACAGTGAGTGAGTCAGACTCTCTGTGGTGTATAATCTTACTGTCAATCAATATGTGACTTGAGGATCACAGAGAAAGAGGTTCAGACCATTTCAGATGGCAACCTAAACTGTTTAGCTGGAACATGGGCTCTCTGAGGTAATGGTTGATAAAAATTCAACTAAACATGGTGAAGGAAATCTCGTATTTCTTGTCAATTTATTGCACATTGCACAGCATTTAGAAAAGCAGTCAAATAAGTGATGCTACAAGAGATCATCACATGGATTTACATTGGTTTTATTTGTCATCTGTATCTCTGGTAACATTTTGTAAAATCATTGACCTTCATTTACAGTAGGCCATTATACTGTATACCCTGCTGCAGCTGTCCATTTATAATCCATTAGTCACCAGATAATGATCACAGTAAGCGCACACCCTGTAATGCACATTGCTGATCAATATAACAGGAATCCACAGGAAGTTCTTTATGTATGTACACACTGATGCATAGATCGCATTTAGGCCCAGACTGGGATTTGTCTAGCTTGTTTGGTAAGTGTATACATATTCTCATTATGAGTCTACAGATAACACAGTGATGGTGAAAGTGAGGAGTGAATGTCTTACTTGGAGAAGTGGCAGTGTGCATGGAAACGCCTCAGACACTGGAGGCAGTGAGTCAGGTCTCCTCCAGCCAGGTGACAAACACCACACACTTCTCTGACATTGACCAGCTCTCCACCTGAGCACTAGATACACATTTTATTTATTTTAGCAGACAGGATTGTTCTGTCAAACAGATACAAGGAGAACAAATAAAGAAGACTGCACCAGGCAGAACATCACTGAGTCTTTACCTGGTTTCTGCCACTAGGTCCGTTCACAGACGTGGTTACACTGGTGAGAGACGAGGGCGACAGCGGGGAGAAGAAGGAGATGTCTGTGATGGAGTTACTGGAGGTCGTGTTTGTTTCCTGCGGCTGGGCAATGAGTGGCTGTGATATAAAATATTGTATTATGACAGGATAAAACAAGCTTTTCAGACTGTTTTAATAGTAAAATCAATCATGAAGATTTTTAGAGGAAGGGAGCAGCGTCTTTCGCCATTAAAGACATTAAAATGACTGGAAATGTTTAAGGAAGCTGATCATTAATCATTATTTTCATCCCTTTTGTAACACAATAAGTCAAAAATTACTACTACTACTACTACTACTATAATACTCAAAAATTAGTATTATCAAAATATACATTAAAATCTGAAAATATTTAATCATGGCTTGCATAGATTTTTATACAAAAGTGAACATATTCAATGTGTCCTCATAATCTTCATTGTTGTGTCCTTACTTGTAAAGGTAGTCGGGCTGTCTCTCTTTTCACTCTGTTGCCAGAGCACCACTCACACTGCCACGGACCACTGCAGATTAACAATTAAAACTTTATTTTCAGAGCAAAAGCTGAAAAAAAACCATGGCCTCCTTGAACCCACATGCATATATATTGAAAATAAATGAAAATAGATAGTGATTTAAATATTTTATTGCTCACCTTGGTATGGATGTGAGCGGAGGGTCCAGGCAGGTTAGATGAAAAGCTTGAGGACAGCCATCACAACAAATCAGCTCCCCTCCGTCCTTACACACTGCACACTCATCATCATTATAGTGCACCTACACACATACAGAACATATATAAGACACAAACATACACATAGGAAAATACAGATGTCTGTGAATGATGTCCTCTACCATGCTTGTGTTTGTCTCCCTCTTGTGGTAAAACATGTTCTTAGCCGCTTTGGACTGGATGGAAGGTCCATTTATCTCCTCTGGCTGACCACAAGAGTAAAACTCCCCACCGACGTTAATGCACTTTCTGGCAGTTCCTGTTACATGACGGACTTTTCGTGTCACAATAATGCCATTTTGTTGATATTTGTGAGCATTAAAAAGAAGAAGAGAGACTCTCACCCAATGGCTTTTCATCTGAGCCAACCACCTGTTTGATTTGGATCTTCTCTCTGGCTTCATGGCGGACTGGTGGCTCAGTGGAGGAGGAAGACAGAGTGACGGGTTTCTGGACCGAGAAGGACACCGCCTGAACACCTGTGGCAGAAAAATGGTTGAATGTGTCTGTAGTAATAAAGCATCGTCTATATATTTTATAATATGACCAAATTGTACTTACTATTTCCAGATGTTAGCTCTGGGGCTGGAGCTTCACTTTTCACTCTGTATAGCCTCACTTTACCGCCTGTAGGAAAAGAACATGTTTTATTATCATCAGGAGCTTATTAATCGTTTTTCACAGATTACCTGAACGGCCCAAAAGTAAGTTGTTTTGACATTTTTAGTTTAATTTGTTAAGGCCACTAGAAAGTGAAAAATATCTCTGAATGAGCTGCAGTGATAGTGTTAGAAGAGATGCATTATGAGAAATAAAAACCTGGTCCATCGCTTGTCTTGGCATGATACTGAGGGTGCTGATTGTGCAAGTTTTTCCCTCTGTCCTCGTGGCTCCTCTTCTTGATGTGAGGGGTTTTGTGGCCTCCAGAGGATCTCTTCTCACTTCTAGAACCGGCAGCATCCCGTCCTGTCAATAAAATGGAATAAAATTAACGAATAATAAAGACTAAACTTAAATTATTATTTGCTCTAAATGCATTCAATAGTCGTAGATAGAAAACTCTGTCCTGAAAGCACACAAGGACAGGGAGGACTTTCTGCTTCTATTCAAATTACTTCTGACTTCTTTATCAAATATAGTTTATCTAAAATAATAGAAATTGTATTTTCAAAATAAATCTCAGTTTGTTTTTGAGCTCACACTGGTGAGTTATGCTGAAGATTTATATTCATGTTGGTTCTTCTGTTGGTAAGAAGGTTATGCACAGAAGCATACATAATCACTTAGATGACATAATGGACAGTAGAGCCTCACAGTTCAGTCAGACAGACATATTAGGAACATTTGCCAAACATCTTGGTGAAACTTGAACGCCACATACTCAAGTGCAGGTTAGTGAGCAGTGTCTGCAGCTTGGGGTAGCTGTCCAGGTTGTAGTCTTTGGACAGGTTGCTCCAGAAGGCCTGGATGGTGGATCTGCTCTGCTCCAGGACCCAGGACAGGAGCGAGTACATGGCCTTGTGGGTCCCTTCTCTGCCCTCCTTCCCCAGAGTGTCCTGTAAAAACAACAAGAGATATATGAACTCTGCAGTCTGGATTAAACCATAAATCCATGCAAATACTTGTCATAATCTACTGTAAAATACTGTCAAATCTATCATCTAATGCTAAATACTTGTCATTAAAATGTAAATACCAGTGAAAAGTGACATTTCCAATCAATGAAAGCACACTTTTTTTCTTTCTTACCTTCAGTAGTTGGTCAGTGATGATGTTTTTGTCCGCCAAACCATAGACGAGAGGGAAAGAGTCATCTACAGCCATAGCAATATCAGTCCGCAGCTCCTTCAGCAGGGAGCGAAGGTTTGTGTCTCTAAAACTTTCCACTCTGGACATGATCCGCTTTGGGTGTAGATGAGATCCAAAGTGACCCAGACCTGAGAGGACCTGATCATACCGGAGGTATTTTTTGATGGAAGAGGTGTGTCCTTCTTTGGGGAAGGAAAGATTATACAGGTGTATCGTTTAATGCGGACTGATAATGTGGGATATCTTGAATCATTTGTGTTAAAAACAATCTTTCATGACTCTTTCATATAATCTAGTGTTTCTGGTTTTTATCCATATATAAATATCACTATACCGCCGTGCATATGTACAACACTGATGCTGAGATTGTCAGAAACTCTACATTGAAGCTTTCACCCTTCAAAGCAAGGCCACCCTCGACCTCTTGTCTCTGTGGAGTTCATCTGTACACTAACAGCACTAACTGTCTGCGTTGACCCCTCAGGGGGATCAAATGACAGGTTGTCCATCCAGGGGAATACCTGTCCTCTTACATCAGGAGAACTAAGTGCAAACGACCTGATGCGTCACAGTGACAGTTTCCTTCTTAAAAGGTTCTTTCCACCTCAACTTCCCCTTAACGATCAGGTTTTTCAGAAACTGACTCACCACAGGGAGCTCAGGCTGCTGCAAAATTAACACTGTAAACAATTAAATGATTAACAGATTGATGTGAATGGTTGGCTGTTTGCTAGTCTCGCTGCCCGTTTTCCTGAGTTGCTTTTACTGTGTTTATGTTTGGGCAACAAAATTTGTTTTAGGCAACTTTTTCTACCTTTTTGGTGGTTTCCACCCACAAAAAGTTATGTTATATTCCAATTAATCAGCCCCTTCTCTCATCTAAGTAGTATGATTGACACTGACAGGGCGCACACAATGATTGATAACTGATTATCATTAAAACCAGATAGAACTAAACTGGAAATATTTTCCTAATCCAATTATTATTCTGGCATCTGTCAGTATGAGTGTTACATTAAACATCATGTAACATTATCTAAAATACTTTATTTCATGTTAGATGTGAGCTAAGGAACATTCAACATTTTGGTAAAATACACTTATTAGCTTTAAATAAGAGGATCAATACTACTCTTATATGTGTTTATTAAATATAAAGCCAGAGGCAGGAGACAGTCAGCTAGATGAGAAAGTTGGTATCACTCTCGTTTAATGAAGCTGGACTTCCTGGACTGTTTCATTTTCAGTCTTAATGCTAGGTTAACCTAACTATCCAGAGTCGTTAAACGGATATGAGAGTGGTACAAATATTCTCATCAAACTATTGGCAAGCGAAAATAAATCCTCACAAAATGTTAAATATTCCTTTAAATGTCTTCAATCAAACTATACTCTTAACGTTAAATAAATATAGGCCACAAAGCAGCATAATGATAAGTGAAACAGAAAAAGCTCCATCAGTATTATGCTTTCTCTCACTTTAAAGATAAAACATGTTTCATTTTAAAGAAGTAACTTGGCTAACAAATAAAGCGAGCTAACACTAGCCATAAGTCAGGGAAACAGGATGTGTGGCTAAAGTTAGCTAACATGTACGTTTTTAGAATAGTGTGTGAAGAAAATTAGCCTATATGGTTTCTTAGATTACATAAAATAAAATAAAAATTAAACCTTATTTTCTTATTTAATAACTATCTATTTTTCCAACACCTTTTACTGCTATCCAATTAATTTTCAGTTAATTCTTTTTTGTCATGTAACTGGTTATGTGATTAAAGAGTTGGATGGATGTAAAACTAAAACCTTTTTTGGATTAAATCAGTAAAACCAGAATACAGTCTGAGATAAATAGAGTAGACCATTTTGCTATCAGGTAAATGTTGATGGTTAGGAGAGTGAAGCCCTTTAATCTGTAATTTATTAATCATTAAACATTATTACATTATTCATACTGGTGAACAAGGACCACTTCTACAGAGGGACGTTCACAACATACATATTACATTATTATATACAGTGCAGTGCATTACAGTGGATCGTTATATGTGTATTACCGGGATGGAGGAATGGGGAGACGGGAGAGGAGCGAGGGGTTAGAGGAAAAGAGGAAAAGGAGCGGGAGCGGTTGGAGGGACGGGGGAGTTGTGATATTAAGTTGTCTTTTTATTACTTCTTTTTTTTTTTTAACCACAGTACAGTTTGTTCTATAAAAGTTAAACCCATAGAGAGATAGAGTGCCACATTTTCACAGCTACTGTTAGGTGAACCTACTGGAAGTTGACTCTTGTGGGAATATCAAATGAGATACATTTTTGTCATGAGATGCTATAGAGAGATGCTATAAAACATTCTAAGATAGTCAACCTCCTTCCAGAGTGTGGAGACCCTGGAGGGCAGGCCAAAGGTCAAAGGTCAAAGATCAGATCAGCGTGCATGCGTGCTGCAGACATTCAGACGCGTCCGGCCATCTAGAAAAATGGCCGACCCTCCCCCCCATTATTTCTCCTTCTATGTTTAGGCATCATTTTTGGTGCTTTCCCTTTTTATATATAAAAAATACAAAACATAACAGCGAAAAGAATTCCGTTGGTTGTCCCGTTTTTCTCCTTTTTCATTTTTCCAAAACTGAGTTGTTGTGTTTTTTTTTTTTTTTCGTTTTCATTTCAACATTTTGTTTTTGTTGTTTTTTTTCCCTTTTCTCCTCCAGTCACTTACATATTGACAAAGTATACAATATTTTACAACTGAACAAGACTGAAAGATAACATTTGATTTGTCCAATCAGATACAAGGCCCGCATCCTATATCCAATTAGAGAAGTCAACTGGAAGCTAACCAGTAGTAAGCAACACAACAAGCCTATGGTGTGAAGGGAGCTGTCCGATCTCAGCTCTGCATTAACATGAGCACCCGCCCTCAGGGACAGTAGGCTCTGCCGGTTTGTCCAGCTTGATGTCGATCACTGGGAGTTATCCAGTTAAGGAAAAAGTCATATATTATGTCCTGACATGTGACAGTAAAATTAGTAATGCTTTAAATATACAGTCCCACAAGTTAAGAGTGTAACTATTTCTACATACAGGGTACCAATTAAATACTAGGCACTTTTTTATTATAATCTAATATATTAGCTTTATTGTACATAAACAGCTTGCCGCACAACTCTTTCTACTGTATGTTGTCCTATAAAACACAGATAAGTTTGTTTCTGCTATGTATACGCTCCTTAAAATCGCACTTTAGTCCCCCAGATTTCTTTAATTTTAAAGCCTTTAGTCTTTACAACTGAGTGGCGCAGATATTCAGTAGTTCTCCCCAAAACCTGTAAACAGACTTTATTGTGTAAAATCTGCGGAGTTCCCCTTTAATAATCTGCTGACGTGACAGGACAAAACAAGTCTTCTCCTTCTGTGTTCTTCTTTTTGATCATCAGATGATCTTACATTGGATCCCAAAACTACATAACTACTGTTACTTTATTATCATTTAAACATATAAACACAAGTCTTTTATAGCCACAGTTTAGTATAATGTTTTATAACCAAGCAACAATAATGTTATAATAATAATATTAATGCTGTAAATGTTTTACAATGTAAGTTTTACTGCAATGTTAACACCCATTCTGTTTGTCTTGCAATAATATTAGTGTAACCTACAATAATTAAAAAGATAATATTTTTTTAAATACTTACGGTGCATTTATTACGGTCATTTATTTAAAGTCCCTCTTTAACACAATGTTGTTACCCCTTATCCCTTTTGCCCTTGTACATATTTGTCCAATATAGATACAGGTAGTATTGTTTCTAAATTGTTGTTCTAAAGCAGTTTGCTGAGTTAATTCACATTTACTGTTATAGTATTTACCTTTTAAATCACCTTCCTCCATCACACATCCCCGGTGTATGTCACTTCCCAGACAGCCACTATGTGGTGCTATACCTGTGCATCCACAGTACCTTCCAGGCTCTGTGCATTTCCTCTCTATTAAAGAATAAAGGTTTAATGGCTGATGCCTCAGCGGACAGTAGGCTGGGCGGTCTGTTTGTACTAGCGCCAACAACCACTAAGAGATTAAAAATAAGCTGCCTATTTCTTGGCTGTTTTGGCTCTTGGCACAGTGAGTCACAGTGGCTGTAAAGGATACTGCCTTCAGGATTTGCGTCGTCCAAGCTTTCCATTCCAGGTAGGGCTGCTGCAACCCGACGAAACAGCTAGGAGGAGAGGAGAGGAGAGGAGAGGAGAGGAGAGGAGAGGAGGGAGAGTTAAGGATCAGGAAAGTGGAAAAGAAGATTTACAGAGAGGAGAAAAAACAGGGAGGGGGAAGCAGAGAGCATGAAAGAGAGGACAGCAAGAGCAGGAAGGTTGGAAATGTGTAAAAATGTGCATTACGTTTGTGAATAGGAAAAGGTTCATGTCGACATGTTGCATCATCACATTTCTGAACCTTGATGGAGAGAAGTAGATCCTTTATTTAAGTAAAAGCAGCAAAATCACACCATTACAAATTAAAAAAAAGTATAAGCAAAAGCATAATCTGCTAAACGTACCAAAATTATCAACAGTAATAGAATTGCAGAAAACAGCCCCACTGAGTGTTAGCTTATTATTGTATTATTTTACTGTGCATGTTTGTTGTGGTTGGGCTAATTTAAACTATTTTATATACAAGTATCCTCTGTTTTCTATGTAAAATCAAAATTTGTAAAACAACCAGTAATTATAGCTGTCCGATTACTGTAGTAATCTGTAATCTGTAGAAATATAAAGTGACATGAAATAGAAATATTTATCAAAAGTACCTCAAATGTGTGCTTCCTACCGTTCTGTGGAGCTCCTACCCAACATACCCCCTCCACATTATTTACACACAGACATTTTATTCATTCGTGTTGTTGACTCGATCACCTTGGAGGGACACGTGAACGGCAGAGAAGCTGAGAGCAAACTGACGCCCAAAATGTTGCGAAATATGGTGAAACTGCGGGGATCACCTGTTTGACATTGCAGCCTGTCTTGGCACTGGTCTCGATGAACATGACGTTCAGCTCTTTGGCTCTCTGCTCTCCTTCCTCGATCATGATTTGCCTGCAGGGAGATCAGGCCAGACTTTAGCACCGCCACACACTTTGAAGGCTGATTTATTCAGTTCTGGCACGTTGAGGCTTTCAGTTAACAGAATATCTTCAAGACTACATTAACTGCAGCTAAATGCTACAGTCCATTATGACCCATATCTGACACACTCACCTCTTCTCCTCCAGATCTGTTTTGTTGCCGACTAGCATGATGATGACATCACTTCCTCTCTCTGTCCTGACATCATCAATCCATTTGCAGGTCTGCTGGAACGAGTTCACATCTGTGGAGACCAGACTCTTATTTTATATCCAGTCTTTTGTGTGTGTGTGTGTGTGTGTGTGTGTGTGTGTGTGTGTGTGTGTGTGTGTGTTAATGATGTACAAATAGTCATTTTAATACAGTACAATTGACCTTTTTCACAGCAGCCATTTTGACATGAAATAGTAGGGCAAACACAGGTTTAACCAATGATACTAATTAAGACTCAGTTCATTTAGTGTAGCAGAGTCTTTCCATTGAGCGAACATGCACAGTAGCAGCACTCTGACTCTGTCTGACATGAATTGAACAAAACCTTAATTAGTGTCATTGGTAACACCTTTGTTTACCCTACTAGTTCATGCCAAAATGGCCGCTGTGAAAAAGGTCAGTTAGGAGGTTGCTGCTCACTTGTAATGTCATAGACAACCACAGCTACTGTAGAGTCTCGTATGTAGCTGGGGATGAGGCTCCTGAAACGCTCCTGTCCAGCAGTATCCCACAGCTGCAGCCTTACCTGCATTCACACACACACACACACACACACACACACACACACACACACACACACACACACACACACACACACACACACACACACACACACACACACACACACACATACACACACATACACACACCTTTAGCAGCTGCTTCAACATTAACCATCACACTACACGCAGACCACACAGATGTAAGGGCTTTGTAAGTACACATCCACAAGGGATAAGCCAGTATCAGCTTGTGTGCAGGCTGACAGAGCATAATATCCTGACCAAGAAATAGTATTATTACTAACTAAAGTAGATGATCCATAGGAAAGGCTTTGACTTCTTAGGGCTAGAAAAGCCAAAGCACCAAAGCTATTACTGCCAGAAATAACCTTAGGGTAATCGTGTTAGTCTGCGAAGAGAGCAGTAATTAAGCAAATCAAATCAAGGATTAGTGAAAACAGAGTTGAAATTGGGACATTTCTTACTTGGATGTTGACTGGCTAAAATGACAATGCAGTAAAAATGCATGAATTCATCTTTACATGCAACTACATGTGAATTTTAAATGACAAGGCTTCCTACTGTTCGGTCTTCCAGGTACATTGTCTTTGATAGGAAGTCTATTCCAATGGTTGCCTGTGGTGGAGAAAGAACAAAAGAGGCGGGGAAACAATCATCAGTGTTGCCCAGATTTTAAAGGCTAAATGTCTCCCTGCACCATCTGTTGTTCCTAGCAGAGTGACCATTTCAATGAAGGAAAATACAAAAAGCTGTTAAGAAAAAAAAAAGAGCCAATAAGCACCGGAATTGAATCAGACTGAAAAGCTAATTTAATTCGTATTGCCCTCAGGGCTCAATCATTCAGACTCGTTGTGTACCAAACTTTTCTACAATAGACAGAATCATTTGTATTCGCTTTTTAAGAGCCTGAAATTGCTATTCTAACATT